TTGGTACAATTCTGTAACCCACGATCCCCCCGACTTGCCCAGATATGCTCAGACATGTCTAAATCCTATGGTGAGTAAAGTCAGTCTCTTATGTTCACAGGGAAGATTATTAAATCTCATCTCTTTTTTTTTTTCATGTAAAAACTCTGTCCTCACGTATTCTGGCTTACCGTACACTATTTATACGTGCATGAAGGTTTCTCCCCTACCAAATGCAAATGCTAAAAACACTGCCATCTGGTCCATCCCTGCTGACAAACCGCCCCCCTCGCATTGTTCAACCAATAAGGGCAAGAACATGCCTACAAATGAGAGAGCAAAGATTTTATCTGCTCAACGTGTTCAGAATTCACAGTACATTCAGGACATAAAAAATTTCCCCATATCAGATAATATTTAGTGAATGTATAATAGGTGCAAAGCATTACTATGCGTCTCATTTGGGGAACACAAAAATAGGAAACATAATGTTTACACTTTAGAAGCTTACCATCTAAATAAGGAGATTCAGTATAAACCCACTAAGAGAATACTTTTAAAGAACAAAAGATGAATAAATACAACTAAATAAGATGCAAAAACTGTACTGGTAATAACCACCATTCTGTAAAAGACCTATGATGTTCCAGGCCAAATATATATATATGACATTTCTTTTTTTTTTTTAAGATTTTATTTATTTATTTGAGAGAGAGAATGAGAGACAGAGAGCATGAGAGGGAGGAGGGTCAGAGGGAGAAGCAGACTCCCTGCCGAGCAGGGAGCCTGATGCAGGATTCGATCCCGGGACTCCAGGATCATGACCTGAGCCGAAGGCAGTCGCTTAACCAACTGAGCCACCCAGGCGCCCCTATATATGACATTTCTAATGTTTGGAAACCTATGAGATAGTTTTTCATTGCACTTTACAGAAAAGGGAAATAAAGTGCAGAAATTGAGTAACTTAACCAAAATCACATAATTGTCACTTCATTGTCTTACTATGTAGTAGTGTTATTTTTCAGCAATTTAAATATAGGTTTTGATGAAGATGAAAAACTCCTATCTACAATCTGTGGAAACGTTCCACATTGTCAAGTCAGTATATTATATGCAGATATCCCGAATATTATAAGAATCTTAGGAAGTTTAAAGAATACATTGAAAAGTCTGGTGAAGGGGTTGCCTGGGTGGCTCAGTCGGTTGAGCGTCTGACTCTCGATCTCAGCTCGGGTCTTGGATCTCAGGGTTGTGGGTTCAGACCCCACGTTGGGCTCCATGTTGAGCATGGAGCCTACTTAAACAAACAAACAAAAATCTCTGGCAAAGACACATTGCCTGGGGAGTCAGACCTGATAAAGTGGATTTTTTTCTCTGGCATATTACTCCCCTTTTCGTCCCTTGGTTTCCTTATGTATAAAACATGGATATTATTTTCACATCTGCCTCTGGGATATGCTGTGAGAACAGAGAATTTCTCACTGTGGTATGGAAGTGCTTTGGGGGGTTGTGTTGTTTTGTTTCAATTTAATGTCTTGACAATCAGTATAAGAAGAGGTGGGTTTTTTTCCCAAAGCTAAAGCAGCTGAGGCAAAGGGCTCCTCACTTTCTTGGGTTCTTCAAAGGCTGGAAGAGTTCTGTATGGGGGAAGCAGGAAGAAGCAGCATAGTTGCAGCCTAGGCATCACCCTCCATGCCCTGGTGGCTGCTCCAGCTTTGGGGCAGGGCAGGTACACTGTTAGATTTACCTCCAACAGTGTTGGTTCTTGGCAACCAGCAGCCCCTGTTGGTCCATTGAGCACCTGGACCCTCTCTGGGTCTCCAAGGACTGAAGCTGGGGAGGAGAGCACTGGAGTTGATAAGTCTTGGCTGAGTCGGACCAGCTGCAGCAGCTTCTGCTGGGGTGGGAGGGAGATGGGGAAGGAAGGCAAGGGTGAACAGGCCTAGCCAAGGTCAAGGCTGAAGTTCTCCAGGGTTGTCCCTTGGGCAAGGAGCATCTCGGGGGAGCAGGAAATTGTGGCAAACATTAGAGAGCAGGCATCACTAACAGGGAGCCAGTAAGCTGAAAAACAACTTTTCGTTTATTCTAATATTTTATTCATAATTTAAAACAATTGTAAACAACCACACTCGAAGAAAGACTGAATTATCTTTCTAATCTCTCAATGGAAAATAATATTACAAGATCTTGGTCATGTTAAGAAGTCATCAAAAAGTATGTAAGAAAAGAGAATTTTAGGCTAGTTCAGTTAATAATAAAGATAATGCTGTGATTTTTTTCCCTATTTTTTAATGTGTGGCATTTGTCAGCTGTGTGATTAATGGTTCTAAAAAACATTCAATTCTGTATTCACAATTCTGCATTTTTTTTTAATTTCATAAAATTCAAATGGTATAAACTTTAGGCTCACAAAGCCTGGAAACGTCTGGGTATACTATCAATTCAATGTGGAGTGAACAACTAGTCTATGAAAATCCAAATCTGGAGTTCTTACTGTCACTCCTGGAACACCTGAGACTTGGGCAGGGGAGAGGAGTGGAAGCGATACGGACGCCCAGGCGCACAAGGACCAGAACAAACTCTGCTCTGTCCGGGGGCATGGAGTTGATGCACGTAAAGGCCACGGTGCATTTCGATCCTCTTCTAAGAGCCGTGGGAAACCGAGAGCAAGCTTTAAGCAGGGGAGGAAGTACTTAGGACGAGGAGGCAAGTGTGTGAACAGGGAGACCACTTAGCAGGGGGTAAATGGTGATACCTTGCATCAGGGTGATGGTTCTTCAGGACTCCCACCACTTTGTGTAGAATCATCCTGAGTGCTTCTGGGCATCCGAAGTGTGCAAGGAATGACAGGTTCTTTGGCTTCCCCAGCAATCCCTGCTCAGTCAGTTGACTCCTGAGTCTGCAGACAAGTGCTATAAACCCCCCCGGTGTGTGTGGTGGGCGGGGGAGGACTTCTCGCATCCTCTCGGCTTTCCGATTAATCATTTAGGTAGGAAACCGAAGCCTACTCAGGTAAAAAGATATGTGAACTCCAGGTCAGGATCACAGTCCTGCCCTAAATATATGACATTCTTTCCCCTGCAGGACGGCAAGGGTGAGGGGGGCTGGGTAAAAACAAATTATTTTCATTCAGTCACTGTTTCCTAGCAACCAAAAAAAAAAAAAAAAAAGCATGTGCTTTCCTGATGTCTGTGAGCACCAGCCCAAGCCCATGATGTTCGGGGCTCCAGCACGCCTCCAGAAGCAGGGAGAGAACAAAAGCTCCGGAATCAGTCTCTGGTTGGTGAGAGATTCTGAAAGGGGGATTTGTTAAGAGCTGGGCACCTAATAGAACACCATCTGAGAGTCCTGTATCATAGATGTAGGGGAGAAGACAGGGGATCTGCATGGAGTGTACAGATATTCAGGGCAGGATGTTCTTACAGAGCAAGGCTGTGACTTCTGGGGGGTTGGTTTCTATGAAAGAGCTAATGCCTAAGACAGCTGACCTCTTCCCATTAGCTCTTTTGAGTGTATTTCCAGCCAGAGTCTTGTTTTTTGTTAAAGCTCTATACTATAGATGGAAAAGAAGAGTGACTGGCTGAATTCAAATTTAAACTAAATAGTCTTTGCAAATGGCCTCCTTTCAACCAGGCAGAGCTCCTCTATACCTGTAAGTCACTGAACTCCACGACTAGAAGGGACCTCTCCAATCATTCGATGATTGTTTTACAGAAGAGGAAACACACAACCACAGAGACACAAATTCACTTATCCAAGGTGACACAGCTAGCAGATATGTTTACTGGGTCTTTGGACCTCCTGGGGGTGGGACATGCTCATATTTTTAAGATTTCCACGTTTGTATATTATACCACATTGAATGATGGTTCGGGGCGGGGGTCTAAGAGGAAACTGTCACAGCGGCCAAGAGACGCATATTTTATCCTTTGTAAGTCTGAAAATCAAAGGGTTGCCTCCAAATTACAAACAAGAATGGGTTAAAGCAAATGCTAAGTCTTTTGCTTTTTAAAAAGGCATCAAAGCTAAGGGAGCCCACCCACCCTCTTGTCAAGGAATTGAGATAAGACAAATGTTCTACCAACAAATGCTTTTCTAACTTAGTGAAGTAGAAGAATCACAGTGCTAGCCTTTATGAAGTTTCGAGTGCTAGGTTGTTGTTGACGACGTTAGCCAGGCTCATCATTTTTTATCCAACACCCAGAACTGGGGTGCAGAAGAGCCAAGAGGCTTGGCCACAGCCACACCAGTCAGTCAGTGGTGCAGTGGACACCACATCCCAGCATCTGGCCTCCCCAGTCCAGTGCTTTTCCTTCTAGGCTACGAGGTCCTCTCTCTGGCTTGTAGTATTCTCTCCAGGTGGGCTCTCCCATAGAGAGCTATATTACTATCTGTGTGGTTCATTCATTTCCTATGGAATGCTCTTACTTTGCCTCCTCCTTTCACCTTCATCTTTTCCACATCCCATCCAAGACTGAAGCAGACGTAGTGGCAACAAGAATGGTCCAATATAATGAAATCGGTCTGGTGAAGAAGTCATTTAAATTAATGACATCCTGTTTTCTCTCTGCTTATTGTTGATGAGCTGAATCAAATAAAGCTTAATGTTTATAGGCTGCAATTTTTTTTAAAAGTTTCTAAAGCTTTATTTATTCCAACCGTATTTATAGTAGTGATTTAAAAACACATGCACAATTTCAAAAGTACAGTAGGTAATATAATGAACATCTGTGGATTTATCTTCCCAGAGTCAATAAATGTTAACATTTTTTTTTATTTGTGTATTAGGGTTCCCCAGAGAAACAGAAAATATATGTATATATGTGTACACATGCACAGAGAGATTTAGTTTAAGGAATTGGCTCACGTGATTGCAGCGGCTTGGCCGGTCCCAAATCGGAAGAAATAGGTTGACAGGCTGGAGACTCAGGGTAGGGTTCTCCTGGCAGAATTCCTTCTTGCTTGGGAGAAGTCGATCTTTCTTCAAGCCTTCAACTGATTGGATGAAGCCCAGTCACATAATGGAGGGTAATCTGCTCTACTCAAAGTTCACTGATTTAAATGTTAATCTCATCCAAAAAAACACCTTCACAGAAACACCTGTCATAATTTTTGACCAAATCTTTGGGCACAGTGGCCTAGCCAAGTTGACACATAAAATTAACCATCACAATTTGCTTTTGATCTTGTTTAAGAAATAAAACATTACAGACATAGTCGGTAACCTACTTATACCTCTCAGTGGGCACCCTATTTAAAAGTGATAATTTTTTTTTTTTATAAACTCCTTTTTGTGATTTCAAACCCCTTTTAATCCCATTACCTAAATTCCAACTTCTGGTTCAATGTGAGGGTAAGAACTGAAGACATGGCCTCATATTTGCCATGGTGACATCTTCTTTCCAGGACCTTCTGGCCATAGGAAGTTGTACATGGGTTCTATAGAAAATTCCACTATGAGCCATTGTACCAAGGTGGATTCACTGGGAATCACTATGTTGAATACACACAGAACTTACATATTCAGATCACAGCATGTTTGGATGCTTCTATCCAAATAGTTTCATCTACTCTTACATGATCCATGACTGTTTTACTTGCTAGTTTATTGCAAGGATAAGTAAATGATGGATGTTGGGAAACTTGGAAAAAATAAGGGGTGTCAGACAAACTCAAGGTACAGTGCACTACCCTCCCACCCCCCAGCCAGTTTAATTATCATCTGGAACCTGCTGGATAAGAGGTCTGAGCTCTACACACTCCCGGATCCCTTCCAAAGCCTAGGACTCCATGACTGGTATTTGGAGTGATAGCATCCCTAACTCAAATTCTCTCTGATTTGCTGCTGTAGCTTATAGGCTCAGAGAGGCTGGGTCTTCCCCAAGGATACCAGGTACAGTGTAACCTACAGATACCTGCTCAGCTCGATAAGCCTTTAATCATGGAAAGAAAGCTCCTAAAGAAGGAAATGAAAAAGCTCCTGTAAGTATGATTGAGAATAAATTTTTGTTTATTACACTCGGCCTTCGGTGGGTTTCAGGTCATAGATGGTCTGGATATTGGCAGGAGGTGGGGGTGGGTAAAAATCTGAGGAAGAATCTATTCCTGCACTACAGGAGAAAGCCAGATGATCTAGTCTCTGCCTCCTGCCTGAGAAGTCTCACATGTGGTGCAAAGCAGGATGCTGACTCTCTTGGGAGGATGTTTCTGCCAGGATCGTGCATATGTGCCTATCAGAGGCATCCCCATTCTAGAGCCTAACAGCTGAGCCCCCAGCCCAGGGGGCTCATTGACATGACATCCCCATTCTAGAGCCTAACAGCTGAGCCCCCATCCTGCCTGTACTGGCCAGGATGTGCCTTTAAAAGGGCCCTGTTGGTAAAAGATATAGGAAAGATTTCTGCAAAATGTACCCAAGGGCCCAGCATTTCAATTGCAGCTTTTGCCGCTGGTATTGTTAGTCTTACCGACTAAATAATTCATCTCCTTTCTCTTGACATCTGAACTTTTTTTAAAAAAAAATAAAAACCAAACAAAATGTCAAGTTTTCCCCTGGAAAAAAAAAATTTTCTCCTGTGGTAGCTTTTCTGTGACTTGGTACTTTTTTAAGAGGTTGGTGAAAATCACAGAGCACATAAAAAGGGGGGAAAAGGCTATTCTATTTCTTATATGTTATAGGCACAACAATAATATCCTTTTGATCAAAGACCTTCTCACAGTCCCCATCAAATGTCTTTTCTCTGCCTACTATGGTAATTATTTTTAAACAAGTCCTTAAGAAATCCTGGAATAAAAAACATATGACTTTACACATATTTACATGTATGTGTTTGGAGGCCAATATAATATAATAAAAAAAATTGTTATCAGAAATGTCAATTCCTCCATGTAGAATTGGAATTTCAAAACTGATATAAGTATAATTTTATAACCAAAGAATACAGTTAGGCTACTTTAAATAGAGTATCTTGGAATTAGAAAGCAAAACTTGAGAATTTTTATCAATTTTAGCTTAATGACTCAGAAGAGCTTTTGGGAACCAGACACAAACTTACTCCCCCCGGCCCCCTCCGCCCTGGCAGTGGCTTGCCCAAAGTGCATGGTAAAGACCTTGAAAACAGAACCAGCCTTAGGTCCAAGTGTGGGTCTGTGCAGATGGACCCTGGGGACCCAGAATCCTTTTTCCTTCATCGGGTCCCTCTTCCTCTTCCTGTCTGTCCTCCTGCCAGGGCCGCTAGGAAAGTATTGTACAAGACACACTGAAGTAGAATTCCTGGTTTGTTTTTATGCATAACTCCTCCTCGGGGTATTTGCATTCTAATGGGGGAAAAAAGGCCTTCGGGCAAGAGAACACATCCGTACAGAACATCATATAGTTGGAATTTTTCAACTTTGGACATTCTGAGTTTAACATGGGCAGCAAGGGACTCTTTGTTTTATTTATTTATTTATTTTTAAGATTTTATTTATTTATTTGACAGATAGAGAGACAGTGAGAGAGGGAACACAAGCAGGGGGAGTGGGAGAGGGAGAGGCAGGCTTCCCTGCGAGCAGGGAGCCAGATGGGGGAGCAGTGAGCCGATGCGGGGCTGGATCCCAGGACCCTGGGATCATGACCTGAGCCAAAGGCAGACGATCAATGACTGAGCCACTCAGGCGCCCCACCGAGGGAATCTTTGTTTTAAACAGTGGGTCTCAATCCTTTTGGTTTTGGGAAATCGTTTCTGCATGTGGGAATGTGTCACGCCCCCCACCCCCCGGCGTTCCTATCAATTCTGTTCCTATGTGAATATTTATTTTCAGATAAATGTGATTGAAGTTCTTAGTGGTTAGACGTTTTAAAATCTATACATTGCAGGATTGCTATTTAAATCAAAATGAGTATCAGTTGAGCTACCAGAGGCACCAGTGACTTTGTATTTTGGTGGAGGAGGGAGGGACTGGGAAGAATGCTCTTCTGCAGACAGAGCTCCCCTCTCATTCCCAATGGTTCAATGCTGCTCTCTTGCTTTTAAGGGGAGATTATATTGGCATCAGACTTCGGGAAAATGAATTTGACCCAAAAGGAAGAAGGCAACTCACCTTTCTAGATGATATGGTAAAGAAAGGCATGCCAATGCAAGTCACATTTGTGTTATTTGTGTTCAGGGGTCGGAACAAGGATCTAATGTAGATCATGAACAAGGCTAATCTCGATCCTCCCAGAATGTCCTCTTCCTCATCTTCTCATCCTAGGGCCCTCCACATGGCCTTTTCGACTCATTACACTGAAAGCAAAAAGAATGAGAAAAAATAAGTCATGAGACTTTTGCTATTTGCTCTTTCTCTCCCAGAAAAGATTAAAAAGCAAATGAGTGAAAGGTTAAATGTTAGATACATGATGTTAAAAATTTTTTTTGACAAAATGACTTATGTATTTCTCTAATATAATAACGTTTTCTTTTGTTTTTTACCATTTGCATTCATAGAGAAAACCACAGAATGAATGAACAATCCTAAAATCTTTCCTCATTATTCATGTTGAAACTCAGATTCACGTTATGTAATGGAAGTTCACTTCACAGAAATTAAGGAAGAAATTATATAAAGATCTAATTCAAAACAAATGAGTAAACCCTCAGCGTTTTTTATGCTTACCTGTTTACTCCTCTTGCACTTAGAAGGAAGAAAGTCTCTCTCCCCGCCCCTCCCCCTGCCTGACGTCCCTGGAGCCGTATAAGCAGTTCAGCCTTGGGGTTCTAAAGTGCTTCCCTGTGCACGTTAAATGGAGAAATTAAATCAATTAAATAAATGCTTCTCAAGCTTTAATGAGGTCTTAGTGCAAGGCCCTTTTGATTCGGGAGGTTTGGGTGGGGCTGGGAATTTGCATTTGTGATGAGCAAATAGGAGATGCCAAGGTGGCTGGTCCACACACCAACCTTTGGATTAGGTTTCAACCACTGATCATGGTTCTTTTTTGTTGTTGTTCACTTTCTAGTTTGGTTTAGTTGCTGAAAGAAATAAGTACAGTTGACCCTTGAATAACACGAATTTCAACTGTGTGGGTCCACTTATACACGGAATTTTTTTTATACAGTACAGTACTGCAAATGTATTTTATCTTAGGATTTTCTTTTTTTCTTTTTAAATGGTTGGTGTTTTATTTCTTTAAGGTTTTATTTATTTATTTGACAGAGAGAGAGAGACAGTGCGAGAGGGAACACAAGCAGGGGGACTGGGAAAGGGAGAAGCAGGCTTCCCGCGGAGCAGGGATCCCGATGTGGGGCTCGATCCCAGGACTCTGGGATCGTGACCTGAGCCGAAGGCAGACGCTTAATGACTGAGCCACCCAGGCGCCCCATCTTATGATTTTCTTAATAACATTTTCTTTCCTCTAGCTTACTTTATTATAAAAATGCAATATATAATATATATAACATATAAAATATGTGTTAATCGACAGTTTATGTTATTGGCAAGGCTTCCAGTGAACAGCAGGCTATTAGTAGTTAAGTTTGGGGGGAGTCAAAAGTTATAAAAGGATTTTAGACTGCAGGAATTGGTGCTTCTAACCCCTGGGCGTTCAAGGGTCAACTGCACATTGTTTAGACAGTGTTAGAACCTTAGAACCCATCTAAAACCCCCAAAACAAAACCAACCTTCCCTTTTCTGGAGGTGGGGAGAGAGTGGAGAGAAAAGGAAAATTTTGACAGGGACAAGGTGAATATGCTTAGAAATTACCAGAAAGATGGTCAATAGCATAGGAATAAACATTCGAATCGGTCCTCAGCTTTTTACTGTGTACAGGACTCTTAGCAAGCCACTCAGTTGGAATCTACCTCCAGTCCTTTGCTCACCCTGGCCCCTCCACCCAGGATGTCCTTCTTCACCTATAGAATTCTCCTCGTCCTGTTCTTCACGCCCCAGTTCCGCTGGGACCTCCCCTCAGAAGCCTCCTAATCTCCCCCTGACTCTCCTGTGCTCCTGGGAGTGCATTTCTGATGTTCGCTCACAGAATTGAAAATCATTCTCTGTGGCCCTCTTCCCCCACCTTCACTCTTTTCTATTAAAATTTGAGGAAACTGAGGCCCTGAGAACATCAGTTGCTTACCCAAGGATATACCGTGAGTTGTGGCAATATCTAGATTTAAATCTAGATTCCCTGATTCCTAGTTTCTTTTTTTTTTTAAGATTTTATTTATTTATTTATTTGAGAGAGAGAGAGAGAGAGCATGACTGGGGGGAGGGGACAGAGTGAGAGGGAGAAGCAGACTCCCCACTGAGCAGGGAGCCTGACGTGGGACTCGATCCCAGGACCCCGAGATCATGACCTGAGCTGAAAGCAGACACTGAACCGACTGAGCCACCCAGGTGCCCCCCTATCCCTAGTTTCTTTCCAAGAATCCATCCTTTCTTTTCCTGTCACCGTGAATCAAAAATTAAAAAACAGCCCTAGTGAGAGGAAAACGTAATGACTGAAGATCTCTAAATAATCTGTCTGAGCATCAGGTTACTGGACATAGAAGATGGTCCTCACATTGTGGACATGACAAAATAATAGCCTAGGCTTAACAATGCCATTGTCATTGGGTCCAGGGGGTGCTCCAGGCAATGTCCAAGCCCCTCCCTTTGCTGTCTCTGCCTCCTGCTTCCAGGCACACTATGACTTGGCCATCAATGTTGCTTTGCAATGGCTGGATCACTCAGAAGACTTAACTTGGCTGGAGTGGGAAAAAGTGTGAGTTGAAATAGTATTTTTTCCTTCTTCTTTTTTAAATGTATGACTATGAGTAGCGATAGAGAAAGCTTCTGTCTGGCATCTTCCACCATGAGGCACTCTGATTTGAAAACGCTGCAGGGTGAGTATCCCTCGCCAGCTAGATACCTGAAGAAACCCCGCAGTTGTCAACATAGACAAGTTTACATACTTTGCAACTCTGCTGATTGATTTCTGTCAGATGATCTTTCTCACACATAATGTTGTGTCTTAGAAATATAACTGTGCTTTATTGTGCATGTGTCGTGATTTTTTAAAATGGTCAATTCTGTGGGTAAAGGCTGCGGTTGTTTTCAAAGGACTATCAAACACAATTTCTGAAGCATTTAACTAGATAGATCCCTGAGCTGAGCTATTTGAACTACAGCTGTTCGAATCCTTTCCAGGATTATCAGCATGTTCATGTGTGCCAGGCAGACTCACTCAGTTGGTAAGAATAAGGAACTAATGAGACCAGGATTTAATAGCTTCTTCCAGAGGCCAGCTATTTTTTCTGTTCCATTGCCTTAGAACACATACCTTGTCCTGGATAGCTATATCAATTAGGGTTTAGTTGTAATAAGCAGAAAGTCCAGCTTGAACAGACTTAAACACACCGCCAAATGGGAGGGGAGTAGGAATTTATTAACTTTATTTGAAAAGTCCAGGGGTAGGTTTACATTAGGCATGGCTTGATTCAAAACTCAAATCATGTCATCAGGATTTACTTCTAGACTATTTCCTCTGGGTGGACATTCTTCTTTTTTTTGAGAGAGAGAGAGAGAGAGAGGGCATGTGTGAGCAGGGTGAGGGGCAGAGGGAGAGAGAGAGAGAGAGAATCCCAAGCAGGCTCCACACTCAGCACAGAGCCAGCCCAACATGGGCCTTGATCTCAGGACCCCGAGAAATCAAGAGTCAGGTGCTTAACTGGTTGAGCTGCCCAGCGGTGGACATTATTCTTAATTTTAGCCCATTTTATCACAATATTCAGTCCATAGGAAAATAGATTAAGAAAGAAGTCACAGAATTGTGTCTCAATTGTGTCTCAGCCCCTGACTTGTCCAGAGGTTGAGGGTGAGAGGAATGGAATACTCTGACCAGCTTAGTCCACAGTGTATTTTCCACCCGTGGAATCTAGGGGTGTTTGTGGCTTCCCTAGAAGCAGATAGGCTTACAGTGGGTAAGGCAGTTCTCCCCAGCAAGAAGGGAGAGTTCTGCCACAAGAAGGGGAAGAGGATACAGGTTGGCAAAACCATAATTGTCCACCATAGTGGCCAGTGTTTGAGAGCTGTGAAAACATAGACAGAAGGCAAATTCACCACCATTGTTAGAAGATTCAGAATTCAAAGTATGTACTTTACTGATGGCAGACTGATCACCTCAGTTTTGTAAATAAGTGCATAACACATGGCCATTGGAGATTAATTATGGATTATTATTATTATAAGCTTACCAGGTGTCAAAAAGAACAAAAATAAACCTTCCACTGTTATTTTTTCATATTCCCCCTTAGGAAAATGCCATTTCATGACAGACCTGTTTATCCAAACCGGAAAGAAAGAGAAGCAATGATTTTATCATCTTATGCTGGAATCCTAATGGTAAGGAAAAGAACACTATTTGAATATATGGAGATTTTATATTTATTATGTGCATTTTTATATTAATGCATATTTATTTTATTTTTCAACCGATCTTTCTGAATGCTTAGGATTTACTAATATTAAATGTTTCAGTTTTAAAGATATAGTAAAAAGTCTTTGACTTCTATATGGTATTGTGAAAACATTTATTTAAAAAGCAAACAGCCAGAATGAAAGACATATATAATTAGATACTGTAGACTCTGATCTATCCATTTATTCAGAAGTTATTTATTTAGTGCCCATGCTATCCAGGCATGATACTAGACATAGCGGAGCTGTAATTGCTTTGTTTTGTAATGTAAGAAAAACCATGATATGATGATGCATTTGTTGGTGCTATTGTTTTGGGTTTTTTTTAACAGAACAGTATCCCAATTGAGGAAGTCTTTAAAATGTATGGAGCTGATTCTTCTACCAGTTCTGGGGCTACTAAGGTAGGGGTGATCCGACACTATCAATAAAAGGGATTTTTAGAGAAAATTTATTTTATAAATTTATAATGTATTTTTAACATTTTCAACCGCATGAAACAACAGTTTTTTTATCAAAATGTACAAAACCGGATGTAACCATATCTTACCCGGATAACAACTCTTTGTAAAATGATTTCCTTACGTGAGGGCTCTGGCAGTAATAACAACAAGTATTTTGCGTCAGACTGAGTAGAGGCAACAAATACGGCACCAGGCTGATGGTCTAGATTCTGCCTCTGTCTCAGGCGAACAGAATTTCTCACCTACACATTTTGTAATGTAGGTTTGGCAAGTCCGGGGGTTCCTATTATTGCATGATGTACTAGAACATTTAGCACTAGGAGAAGATCTGCAAGGTTCAATCTCATGATAAATTTTGTAGTTCGTTACTACCACTCTTCTCCTTCACATGAGAGTCCTTTGAATCACAGCAGTAGAAGAAGCAACTATCAGAAGTCCAGTGACCTGAGCTCTGACACCACTTCCACGGAGCCCTAGGTCCCTGTCCTTCTTTGAGTTTCCATATACCGATCTAAAAATATTTTTTTGAATATTCTGAATGATCTTTATAGCCAGTTCAATTTTTGCTCTTTATGGACGTAGGCACATTTAGTAAACATTAAATACAAGCTGGCATTTAGAGGTGAACTACCGATTGGTTTACCTTTAGATACCTCTAGAAAAGGGAAGAGACAGGGCGGGTAGTGCAGAAGGGGTGTGCAGGGAGGGAAGAGAGAGAATCCATACCCTTATACCCAGCTTTCTGCTCACACTGTCACTTCCGATGCCCCACCCGGACTTGGCAGGAAGGCCAGGGCAGGGGCAGGGCTATGACCACAGAAATGCCTGCCCCCCCTTGTTCTTTTACCCATGGACAATACAGCGAACAGTGGGGTCATATAAAATCAAGAGCTCACCAGGTCCAGCTTAAGAGTCAAGCATTTACTAAGAAGTGTTATAACTTGGAATCTGACTGTCCCATCACCTTAATCCCTATGTAAGCTGGCTCTCGTCCTAAGACTCAAGGTCCCTTGATCACAGAGAACATCAGCACCTTTCCTCTGATCACCCTAGTTTCAACCTCATTCATTCAATATAATTTATGTACAAGGGGTATAATGGTGAACAAGTCAGACAAGATAGCTTTTCTCGTGGGTCTCCCTTCCAGACTGCCCTCTTTTCCCCTTTCCCCAACCCACCCCCCAATATATACACATAAATAGCAACACCTTCTGGTTCAGCCACTGTGTTTTTCCACATCTTCTGGTGCCTGGGGATGGCTAGGGCAGGCATCAGGCCCTGACTGGTTGGCCTCAACTCACATGGTCAAAGGGCAAATACGGAAAATCACATCCTGGAGGGGATGGCCCTATGAACCCTTCCAGTCTTGGTTGGGTTATCAATCAAGAAGATTTGCAAACATGGTTGCCCAAGTAGCTCAGGCCATGTAACCAAGTAGCCAGGTTCATTTTAAAGGGCCAGACTAGGAAGCCATGCTGTTTAGAGGTGGGCTGGCCAATTTCTATCTATCCACCCCATCTTTCACTTATTCAGTAAAGAGACTTTATTCAGCACATTCTCTGTTTGGTTATGCACAGTCTCTGTCCTCACATCGCTGACCAAAATCAAAAAGCCCAGATGTGCACATGGACTACACAATGACCAGCTCGAAAGGGAAATAGATAATATCCTCATGGAGGGAGCTTTCCTTCAAACACCTGCATTTGTATATTGTTACAGGATATGACTGTCAGCTCCTTTATTGATTCGTAACTGGAAGGCAGCTTGGGGTAAGGGTTCAGCATGAGGATTCTGAAGCCAGGCTGCCTGGGTTTGAACCAACTTTGAGCAGAGGAATCCTGGGCAAGTCTTCTAAATTCATCATCCTTGATTTTATCATAAAAACAGGGACTAGAAAATGGGATTATTGTGGGAAATGAGGTGAATCAGTACCAGTAAAGCCCTTAGTGCTTGGCACATGGTAACCTCAAGACAATAACTATAGTTAAGGTTCTGGTACTTGGGATTTGAATACCTGATTTTCCTCTATATTCCTGTAAATCAAGGTTTTTCAACATTTCAGTCCAGATAATTCTTTGTTGTGTGTGTAGGGGTGGAGCCGGGGGGCTGTCTTATGCATTGTGGGATGTTTATCAGCATCGCTGGCCTCCACCTTTTAGATGCCAATAGCTTCCCCCCGGTGTGACAACCAAAAACGTCTCTCAACTTTGCCAAATGTCCCTTAAGAAGCAAAACCACAGCTGGTTGAGAACTACTGCTCTAAATAATTAAATAGCTCATCAAGCATCCTTATATATTATTAACATAATATAAGCTTTGCCTATTTTAGACACTGAATTATCACAAAGGGTACAATACCATTTGAGCTACAAATACAGAGTCTAAGGATCACCTACCCTTGCGGACCTCACAAGATCCTCCAGCTTCAAGAATGCCAGCCCAGGCCTTTCTATTGCGGCTATATATCAGTTCAATTCAGGGACCTCCTCCACATCTTAAACAAGAAATTAGTAGAACCTCTCTATGGAAATGTAGCATTTCAAAGATTAAATTGTAAGAGCTATTTTAAAACAGTCTTTCGAGGTTTAACATAATTTCAAAAAAATTGTTCGAAAGAAGTTATTGACAAAGATTCTTCTCTAATGGCTGCATATATCTGAATAAACTTTGATTCCTTTAGATAACATGTCTCCTAAGCAACAGCTAAAATCCTCTCTAAGCAAGAGCTTAAAGCCCTGTAGAATACTAATTAGATTATGGAAAAGTTCCGGCCACTAGAATTGGAGGCATGATATAATACGGGTTGTGCATAGGCTTGAGGGCTTTCTTCAGGAGTATTTGCTGCCACCTGGTGACAGAAAGGCATCACGGGTCCACTGTCGTTCACCAATTCTATAATCCTCAGGTTCTACTCCTGAGAGGGAGCTGCTATTTGACGACAGGGAGCCATTTTTCTGCTGAAGACCTTGGACCTATAGAGAAAAAAGTCAACTAAGGGTTTCACACAAATGACGGTATTTACGATTAGCTTCAGATAAATATAAAATCGCCTACTCAATTTCAAGCTGAAGAAAAAGGAGCATAAATCTGCCCTCAACACAGCAAGCGAGCAATAGAAATTTTCTTCAGTTCCATTTGTCAGAGAAAGAGGGAAAAAGGAAAGGGAAGCAGAGAGAGTAAAAATTAGTGTAACCGAGAGAGGAGGAAGACAAGGAGAGGTGGCTGGAGACCATCAGAACCTCTACTCCTTCTCTCTTTCTGCAGCCACACCCCAGAGTCTGAGGGGCCATCATTTAACTCCATCCTGAGTCCAAAACAGGTTCTGCAGAGGCAGACAGATCGGTGTTCCGTCCCAGCTCTGCCACTTCCTAGCTGTGTGGCCTTGGATAAGTTACCTAATTTCTCTGATTCCCAATTTCCCTATGTGTAAATATGCATGATTACACTTCCAAACTATACTAGGTCCTTCTGAGCATTCACACATATCAGGTGCATGATGCTGGCGTGGGGTGGGGAGCCTTCAACATTAAGTGTTTTTATTTCCAAACCCACCCCCGCTCCTGTTTCCCATCCACAGGAGTCCATCGACTTTGCAGCAGGCACATCTTCCCACCTCACACCCTTCTGCAGCCCCAGCCTCTAGGCGCTTACTACAATAATCTGCCAAGTGTTTTCTCTTCTTGGAGGATGCTGATCCAGCCTGAAGTGTACAGAAGTGAAAAAGCATTTTCATGATAAGGAGAGGGACCTATTAGGTTTAAACAAAAGCTCAATATTGGCAGATCTTCATGAAGGGAGATGGAAAACCATGCTTTCGATATCCATTATGTCCAAATGAATACTTATGGTATATGTTTAAAGTATAAAACCCAAGCAAACAACAAATCCACCAAGGGGATGAAATGGAACAGTATCAACCGTTTGGGAGCTCTCCGTGCATCCTCTCCAGCCCCTACCCTTCTTGTTGCTCCACATTTCTACTATCTGGAATCATGGGTTTATAATTTTCTTGTCTTTCTTTCGAGTTTTACCACATATGCATGTCTCACCCATATATTGTTTAGTTTTGCATGTTCTTTGAACTTGATAGAAGTCATATAAAAAGCAGTCTTTATAAGTGAAGCAAACATTTTATTCCATGGCTTTCTTTTGTCATTCAACACTATGGTGCACAAATTCATCCCTATGGTTACACATAGTTTATTTTCACTGCACATAGCATTCCGCTGTAGGAGTATGCCACAATTTCTTTATATATTCTTCCGTTTTAGACATTTGGATAATTTCTGTTATATGTTTCTTTATGTCCAGTAAAAGAGTTTCTGTGTGGCCTATGCCTAGGCATGAAACTGCCACATCATTACATCATAGATGCCATGCACATCCCATCAGATACATGTGCATCTCCAACTCTGCATAAAGCCAAATTGTTTTCCAAAATGGTCATACCAATGTACACTTCCACCTGCAATGAGCTTATCTGGCTGCTACCAACACTTGCTATTTTCAGGCTTCTTAAGTTTGTCAGTCTGTTAGGTGGCCGTGATCTTCACATTCCTCTGATTACCAATGAACAACTATTTTTATGTTCTTCTTCTGTGAAGTGCCTGCTAAAAATCTTCTATTTTTTTTTTTTTTGGTTGGGTCATTTTTCTTTCTTCTTCTTGTTTTTTTAAATTCACACAGAGCCTCAATTTTTAGAAAAGCTGCTATAGGATATAATCAGTCAAGTCCTAGATTTTCCAGTACTCTTCCTATTTGAAATTTGCCTTCTCTCTTTACTAATATTAAAATGTTTAGAAAATATGATGTTGCACCATCCCAAACACACTTGAAAAACTTATTGGACAGTACAAGCTGTCTTTCTGGACCACGTGCCCTGCTTTTGCTTTGGAAAATATGGTATTCATGAGCATATGTTCAATTGCTTTGACATCTAGAATCAGAAATTCTCTACCTTCTGGCTCAGTGATACCAAATGACATTTTAATAAGTTACTGCTCAGGCTGAAAGGCAGATGAAGATTACTGGCTATACTCTTCATCCTTGGGGCGCCTGGGTGGATTCATCAGTTAGGCATCTGCCTTTAGCTCAGGTCATGATCCCGGGGTCCTGGCTCCCTGCTCAGCAGAGAGTCTGCTTCTCGCTCTCCCTCTGCCCCTCTCCCCACTCATGCGCGCTCTCTCTCTCTCAAATAAAAAAAGGAATCTATACTCTTCATCTCTTGATGATGTATCCAGGTCGTTTCTTGTGCAAGTTCCTATATGACATCCCCCATCTTCTTCTCTCTCTCTTCCCACCTCCAGTTAGAAGAAATTTTTGTTGAATGGCTTTGGATATAATTGAGCACTTAATAAGAATATGAATGAAGAAATAACAATTGTAATAATACTTCTATATTGACACAATGATGATATTAGTAAATAGCTCTAAGGTAAAAAAAGAATGTATGATCAATTCTCGGTTTAGGATTTTATTTTCATCCTACTTTGAGAGTAATTTCTCATATAAGCCACACAGGAAGCCATAGGAACTTCTTGCATGAGCCATCAGATTATCAGGACTCATAGAATATTTGAACTGGAAGTGATCTTTAAAATCATCAGGTTCTATCTTCCCCAGTGGATAAGGAACTAGAGCATCTATAAATATAAAGCTTGAATCTCCCTCAGTGAGAAAGCAGGAAATGATTGATCTTTTAGAGGGGTATTAATTACTTCAGGCCTCCTGGCTCGGATTAGTTATTAGTTATTTGATTAGTTATTTCCAAGCAGGATCTTGTAAAGGAAATGGTGGCCAAGTTGTTGCCATGGGTTATTCTACACAATAAAGAGAGATGACGATGATTATAACAAATATAATAATTATTATTATCAAAAAATAATAATTATTATTATCATTAATTTTAAAGCCAATATATTGTGCTATGTGCCAGGCACTATTCTAAGTACTTTACATATGCTAACTTTAATTCCTGCCACAACCCTATAAGTTCATTACCAGTATTATTATTATCACATGAAGAAACAGGCACAGAGGAGTTAGGTGACATGCCCCAGGTCACACATCTTGTAGATAGTTGGTGCAGCCTGCACTCACATACAGCCTGTTTGACCCTAAAGTGTATGCTGTTAACTACTATTGCTTGGCTAGAATGCTAGTCGTTCAACTAGTCAATGACACCTGGGGGCCTCCTATGTACTAGGCATTCTCTAAGGCACTGTAGAGAAAAGGTTAAATTCGCTAACTGGGCTCCCTGTTTCCACACTCCAACCCGTTCTCCACATGGCAGCCAGAGCAATCTTTTTAAAAACTGAAGTCAGACCTCATCACACTGGAGCTTAAAAATACCGCAATGGCTTCCACTGAGTCCTGGAATAACGTACAGCTCCGTACCGTGGCCCACAAGGATCCAGATTATCTGGCGCCTGCCTGCCTCCTTCCCAGCCCCATCTAGAATTTCCCCTTTCTCCCTATGCTCTAGCCACCCTGGCTTCCTTTCTGTGTCTGGAAACACAGGTTATTCCAAGAAGACCTTCTCGTTCCCCCTGCCTGGAACATTCCTCTCCAGCTTGTCCCCTAACCGGCGGCCGCTCATTCTAGAAAGCTCAGCTGAAGAAGCACTGCTTCTTTCTAGAGGCTTTCTCTGGCCATCTGCAGCGGTGGCTGTCCAGTCACTTGCTAGTACATCATCTTGGTTTGTTTATTAAATTCATCACGGTGGATGATTTACTGTTTGCGTTTCCTCGCTTGGCTCCAGAAGGGCAGGAGCCTTGTCTGTCTTAGTGACCACAGCTCCTGACACAGGGCCTGGCCCATGGTAGGTGCTCACTGAGAACTTGTTGAAGGAAGGAAGGAATGAGGAGACAGTCCTAACCTTGAAGAAGCTTCCAGTGCAGCAGGCAGTGGGTTATAACTAACTACAACACTGGGCTTGCTCTATGTGAGTGCATGCTTTGAGTTTCCAGACGAGTGAGTCAGTAATTCTGCCTTAGGGTAAGGTGGGGGCGCGGGGTGCCAGTGCAGGAGAGTGGGGGTGGGAAGACACGGGGCAGATGTCTCAGAAAAGGTGATACGTGAGCTACATCTCAAAGGAAAAGTAGGAGCCTCTAGGCAGAAAAGGAGCAAATGGTTATCCCAGGTAAAAGGCAACAATATGCAGAGCATCAGTGTGTGAAAATGCATCCTGGGCAAAGAGGACCAAGAGTGGGCGCAAAAGACAAAGTACGAACGTGCATGCCGTGTGAAACGTGAGGCTCCCCAGCAGGTGCTTGGTGCTGTCTAAGAACTGTGGGCTGGTTCAACAGACCAAGCGCTACACCTAGCAGGTGTTAAAAAGAGGACTGTTTTCCTTCCAGGTTCCCCGAGCTCCACCTCTCCGCCTCTCCCTGCATCCCTTTGCCATGTTAACAGCACCCAAAGCAGCAGAATACGCCCGCAAACAGAGTAAGCCTCTTTCCTTCCACCTGCTTAGGGGAAATTTAAGTAAACCTAAAAGTTAAACTCACAAAGTAAGGCCAAAGTTGTTACGGTAATAAGATTCCTCTGTCCAGTTGAATAAAGAGGAAACAAACCAGAAGGATTCATGACTTAATTTCCCTTCATTATGGGAATCAGGGAAGTCTTACTTCTCAGACCCTTTAGTGACAGGAGCAAGGCATTCTAGAAGGGAAGGATCTAAACCTGTGGGTGGACTCATTTAAAAAAAAAAAAAAGGTTTTCATACAGTTACAGTGACCACATGTGTCTCTAGGTGTCAAGTTAAGAAGGGGACCAACAAATAAAAATGTCACGAGCAGCTCTGCAAGGGAAGCAAATGCCACAGCGTGGAAATCATCAAAAAATGTATCTTTGGACACCCAGCCAAAGAACAAAGTAGGTCGAAAAATATAAATTGGACCAAATGGATCCCAAGGGTTTGGGGAGTACTCTACTGATATTGTGGTTAAAAGTCCAGGCTTTGGAGTTAGATACTGTGGGTCTGAATCTAAATGAAGCCACTACGGGGTGCCTGGGTGGCTCAGTCGGTTAAGCATCTGCCTTCGGCTCAGGTCATGATGTCAGGGTCGTGGGATCCAGTCCTGCATCGGGCTCCCTGCTCTGCAGGGAACCTGATTCTCCCTCTTGTCCCTGCTCCTGGCCTCTCTCTGTCACTATCACTGTCTCTGTCTCTCAAATAAATAGATAGATAAAATTTAAATGAAGCCACTACGTACCAGCTGTGTGACTTCAGGCAGGCTACGTAACCTCTCTGTGCCTCAGTTTCCACTTCTACAAAGTGAGAAAAATAAGGGTTCCTCCTCTCCAGGTTGTCGGGTTAAATAACTGGGATTCTGCATGTTAAGAGATTAGATGTGTGTTTGGTGCAGAGTAAACCCTAAATAAATACGGACCATGATATTTGGGAAATACTATTCACAAGTTAATCAGCTGTTATTCTTTGATTCAACTAAGTGTGTTGAGGAGAGTTATATGAATGTCTGTGTCCTAAAGGTTTCTCTTCTCGGTCCCTTTCTCACTAATGAAATTTTATCTTTGCCTGCTTTGCATCTCTGCTGCTCCCGCCCTGTCCATCTGATTCCTGGGACATTTATGCTGCAGAATTCAGAGAATGGTCTGAGATGCACAGGGCTAGAAACAAAGGAGAAAGGCGGGAGAGTTCTCGGCCCTTCCAGCCCTCGGCTCTCTACTGTAACGCGCAAAGTGAAAAGGAAATTTAAAAAGACATCAGGAGACCAAGTTAGTGAACATAATAAAAGCTGAGAGGGGAGAGAATCAGATAAGCGGTACAGCTGGTGGCTGGGATATTTTAGGACTTTGTTGAATGAGAGACTGTGGACCAGCTGCAGGGTTGTAAGGTAGGAAAGGGAAATTGGGAATTTCGAAACTTGGTACACTGGGTTATGAACTGCATTTGCTTTAAGAAACACAAGTGAAAATTAAACACAAGTGAAAATTAAAATTTCTTATTATCTAGTTTGGTTGCTGTACTGTGCATCTTTTAATGTGAATCTCTGAATAGACTGGACCACATCAGGCCCAGGATTCATTCAGGTTTTAGAGGCAAACAATCGACTGGTGAGAAATATAACCTCATCATAGCAAATGCTTTAGGAACAACCTGAATTCTTTGGTCACATTAGGGTTTTAATAAGTGTTATTCTAGTAACATAACAACACCACTATTGGGAAATCTTTACTATGTTGAGTTTTCTTTTAAAGATATTTGCTATAGGGTGCCCGGTGGCTCAGTTGGTTAAGTGACTGCCTTCGGCTCAGGTCATGATCCTGGAGTCCCGGGATTGAGTCCCGCATCAGGCTCCCTGCTCATCAGGGAGTCTGCTTCTCCCTCTGACCCTCCGCCCTCTCATGCTCTCTGTCTCTCATTTTCTCTCTCGCAAATAAATAAAATCTTTAAAAAAAATTTTTTTTAAAAAGATATTTGCTATTTTATTAGTGAGATTTGAAGACTTAACTTTTCTAGAAACGTATCTGTTACTGAAGAACTGTTTGAAGTAAGATGAGGTGTTTTTTTTTTTTAACATGAGTTTGGATATAGCAAGTTTTAGATAATAAAACAGAACAATAGGAGAAAAAAGTAACTCCAGAAATAACACACAGGCAGACACGCACACGCATGCGCACGCACGCGCACACACACTGATATCTAGACTTTAAACTTAATCATGAAAAAAATACATCTCTGATACAGAGGTTCTTAGACCCCCTGAGGCCCATCTATGCATCCTATGTACTGAAAATCCAGCTCTCAAGATGACTCATTGGTATGTTTGTTTTGAAAATATAATTTCATTTCCTGTATATTTCCTTCCCTAACCATTGAACATTGCTGGCTTCTTGATGGAAGCAGATCTTTTATTTCCTTATTATTTCCCACATGTATATAAAGTGCTTTGCAAGCCGTGGCTATTCAGTAATTATTGTTGATAAGTGAATTGGCAATAACTACATGGTCCTGAATGTTCTCAAAACACTGTGCTCTGTCTAAACTGATTGAGAAGTTCCTTTCTAGGGACCAGCCATTTCTATAGGTTGATTAATGCCTGTAAGCCTAGGATGTCCAAACAATAAGTGCCCATTTTGCAGTAGGGATAGGTCTTGAGATAAATCCTTTCCATAAAGTCCTCTTCTTGAAAATCAAACAGCAGAAAACACATCTATGATTTTTGTTCATTCTTTACCATTTGTGTACTTTAGCATCTTTTCCAACTTCTGAGTAATGTACTTTTTAAATTAGCTTAAAACATTATCATAGTAATACATGTTTATGGTAAAAATTTCAAACAATACAGAAAATATAAACTGAAAACAAAAGAATTCCCCCTTCCCCACAGCTCTGTCGTATTCCTCAGAAATAACCACTGTTAATATTTCTTGTGCTATTCAAATATTTGCTGTACATGTACATATAAATATACATACATGTGTCCTACTGATTTGTTAGAAATTAATGAAAAATCTTTTTGTTAAATGTATGGAAAAGGCATGCCTGGGTGGCTCAGTTGGTTAAGTGTCCAACTCTTGGTTTCAGCTCAGGTCATGGTCTTATGGGTCATGAGATCGAGCCCCACGTCGGGCTCCATGCTCAGTGGGGAGCCTGCTTGAAGATTCTCTTTCTCTGTCCCTCCCCCTATTTGCACACTCACACTTGCTCTTTCTCTAAAATAAATAAATCTTCTATTTTATTTTTATCTTTTTAAAGATTTTATTTATTTATTTATTTATTTATTTATTTATTTATTTGAGAGAGAGAGAGAACAAGGAGGAGTGGAAGGAGGGGCAGAGGCAGAGGGAGAGGGAGAACCCAACTCCTCACTGAGCAGGGAGTCCCATGTGGGGCTCGACTCAGGACCCTGGGATCATGACCTGAGCTGAAGGCAGATGCTTAACCGACTGAACCACCCAGGAGCCCCTAAATAAATCTTTTTTAAAAAGTTTGGAAAATAGGGCACCTGGGTGACTCAGTCAGTTAAGCATCTGCCTTCGGCTCAGGTCATGATCCCAGGGTCCTGGGATCGAGTTCTGCGTCGGGCTCCCTGCTCAGTGGGAAGCCTGCTTCTCCCTCTCCCACTCCCCCTGCTTGTGTCCCCTCTCGCTGTGTCTCTCTCTGTCGAATAAATAAATAAAATCTTTAAAAAAAAAAGTTTGGAAAATATACTTTCACAGTTTATTGCTTGAAAAAGTTTTTCATTTTATATATTTCAGCTTCTGAGTCTTTTCCTTACCCATATGTTTTATGGATATTGTATCATGTCTTTTAGCTGGTAAACAACTTTTTTCAACCTCAAGATAAAACAATGCCTCTTTCAGAATTTTCTATTTACTTCCAGCCACAGAATTGCTTCATAAAGTAAGGGAAAGGAAGAAATTTTTTTTTAAATAATCCAGGTATTTGGTGAAATAGTTTTAAGGATTTCTTTTATACTGTAATGATACTAGCAATCCATTTATTAGTCAAAATGAATATGAGCAACACCATATCCTAGGAAAGTGTAGATACTGAGCACATTACCAGGAAATGGATTCTGATTGGGCAGGACCATACCAAGGAGCTAGAAAACAGGTACCCTGGTGATAAAGAGTGTGGACTCTGGAGTCACACAGCCCAGAGTTGACTCTTGGTTCTCCCATTTAATAACTGGCATGAATTGTTAAGTGAATCTCTCTGCTTCCGTTTCTCAACTATAAAGAAAAGATTCTAACAGTACCTATCTCATAAGGTTGTTACAAGGACTAAATGAGCTCACATATATGGAACGGCTTAGAAAAGTGCCAGGACCATGGCTAGCAAAAACTCAGGTGCCCCCGTGACTACTCCTGCCCCTGACAAAGTCACAGTGTCGTGCGCCGGAGCAAGACAGAGGGGCAGGGCAATTTGAGGGATTCTGGTTTCCAGTTCCACCGGCAAGGAATTTAGAGACTGCCACTCATCCTAGTAAGTAAAAAGCTGAACAGGCTGAGAAAACAACTCCTCTTGGATCTGTAAGACAGGGGAGGTCAAAGGGCAAACCAAGTTTGGAGAGACAGACAGGCGGATATAGGGAGTTAGGGTTTACCGGAGCAGAGACTCACAAGTGGAAGCTGCCAGGAATACATGCTGGAGTAGGAAATTCTTAACCACAATTTGCAAATCACAGGAACCTCAGTGCAGACAACTCGGAGGGTTAAAAACTCCAGGGGGACCCAGTCATAGCAGGGTACCCACAGTTTTGTGAGATTTACCTGCAGGAGCTCTGCCAGATTCTCACAGTAAATACTGGAGAAAATTCCGTTCATGTTTCCAGCAGTGGGGGGGGTGGGGGGGGCAGGGGAGGGGTAGGAGTGGAGGTGGGAGGTGGGAGAGGAATCATTTTTATTTATTTTTTTAAAGATTTTATTTATTTATTTGACAGAGAGAGAGAGAGAGTACAAGCAGGGTAGCATCAGGGAAAGGGAGAAGCAGGTTCCCCCTGAGCAGAGAGCCCGATGACGTGGGGCTCCATCCCAGGACCCCGGGATCATGACCTGAGCTGAAAGCAGACGCTTAACCCACTGAGCCACACAGGCGCCCCGAGGAATCATCTTTAAATACAACAGAGCACTCTGTTCTTAACTAAGCCTACCCTGAGTGGCAACTAGTTAACTGTAGCCTACCTGTTGACATTTTATCATAGCCCAACTGACCTAGAAGAAGGGAAATACCCACTCCAGTCAGCTCTGGTCATCTGGTCCCAGCTAGAGGAGAGGAAAAACTGAGAAACACTTGCAAAGTCCAAAGTCCAGAGGCGCAGGTTCACCAAAGACTGAGATCTAATCATAGGACTACAGAACCCTTCCCATCCCCCCTCGCCACCCCACACCACATCACTAAAAACCTATTTAGAGAGTTCATTTTACCCAGGACATCATGTCTAGCTATCAAGAAAGAATTACAAGGTATACTAAAATGCATAAAACATAAAAATGTAAAGAAACAGAGCAAGCATTACAAACAGACATGGCAGGGATGTTGGCACTATCAGTCCAGGAATTTGAAACAAATCTGATTTAATACGCTAAGAGCTCTAATGGATAAAGTAGACAGCATGCAAGAATAGATGGGCAATATAAGCAGAGGGAAGGAAATCCAAACTGTTAACCACAGAATCCAGGTGGTGGGCACATGTATCTTCATTGTACAAATATTTCACCTTTTCTGTATGAAAATTTTCACATAATAAAATTATGAAGGAGAAAAGAAAAAAGAAATTGTCAGAGTGGATCAAAACACAAGACCTGATTATACGTCGTCTATAAGACACCCATTTCAAATATAAAGACACATATAGATTAAAGGTAAATGGATAGACAAAATAAATCACATCAGCCCTAATCAAAAACAAGAAAAAGCTATATTAATTTCTGACAGTGCTGACTTCAAAGCAAGGAAAATTATCAGGGATAAAGAAAGACATTTGATAAAAGGGTCAATTCTCCGAGAAGACATACAAACCTTGACCCGTGTGCACCAGACAACAGAGCATAAAACTACATGAGGTAAAAATGGGTAGGGCTGCAAGGAGAAATCGCTGGCTCCGCTTTCATAGCTGGAGACTTCAGCACCCCTCCATCAGAAATGGAGGGAGGGTGATTCAAGTTTAAATTCAAAGCAATATATAACATTTTAAAATAATATGGCATAAGCACAATACACAACTTCTCAGGGGCAAAAAGAAATGATTTGCTTTGGATATAATTTGTCAAAACAAGTATAACTTTTATTATTTGTGTTTCAATTTGGAAATAATTTTAAGATTTTATTTATTTATTTGACAGAGAGAGACATAGTGAGAGAGGGAGCACAAGCAGGGGGAGTGGGAGAGGGAGGAGCAGACTTCCCATGGAGCAGGGAGCCCGATGTGGGGCTCGATCCCAGGACCCTGGGATCATGACCTGAGCTGAAGGCAGACACCTAACGACTGAGCCACCCAGGTGCCCCTCAATTTGGAAATAATTTTGAGTTTAGAGGAAAGTTGCAAGAATAGCACAAAGAGCCTTCATACACCGTTTACTCAGAATCACCAATTGTTAGCATTTTGTTCCATTGGCATCACCTTTTTTTTGCCTCTGTCTCTCTGTCTCTCTTTCTCTCTGTATATAGATAAAAAAAAATTTTTCTGAGCCATCCAAGTTACACCTGCCCTATCACTATACCCCTATATACTTCAGTGTGTATTTCCTGAGAACAAAGTCATTTCTTAAATAACCTTAGTATAATGATCAACTTCAGAAAATCTAACATTGGTACTTTTATTTGATCTATCATCTATATACCAATTTTTTCAAGTGACCCAATAATGTCCTTTGCTAAACATTTTTCTTTCTGTACAGGATTCAGTGTGGGATCATATACTGCATTTAGTTGAGAAATATAACTCAATTACCAAACCTCAGAACAATTCCACGGAAGTTCTTTTGTACCTACATGTATTATAATCCATCTTTGTCAGTAACTTAGTATTTGATACTAGACCTTAACTCCCTATAGACTGAAAGCTAATGTCTGTGTGCATGTTAAATTGATGGGTTTGATACCAAAATCTTTTTTTTTTTTTTTATCCTGCAGGTCACTTAGAAACTTGGAATTGCACCATGGAAGTTCATAATAAAGTCTCTGGGAGAGGAAAAGAAACATCATCTTAACACTGCAACTCTTGCCAGCACATTTTTCCTTACAGTTAGCTTGTGGTGCAAAGTTTATGGAAGTGTTACTTTGGATGTTGGGCTTTCTTCTCTTAGACTCCTACTGTGTGGCTATATTGTGTTGTTGTTGTTTTTTTAAGTGTATATCCTATGCTACTTCATTGTAACTGGAAGACTGCTAGCTGGAGAATTTGGGGAATATGTCGTATTTTTTATGTGAGAGCAGACGGGCTTTGCAGCACATTTCCCAGATGTTTAGCACTGAATCTTGCAGAGCGCTGGAGTCGGAGGCAGTTTCCCAAAGTTTCGATCCAAAATAAAATGAATCTGTCATTCATTGCCCTTACTATGTCCTCACATGGAAACATTTAAAATCATTTCAATAAACCATTAAAGGAAACAGAAGTGCAGGCTTTCTTTCAGTAAATATAATGACTATTAAGAAAAAAAAATGTGGGGCGCCTGGGTGGCTCAGTTGATTAAGCAACTGCCTTCGGCTCGGGTCGTGATCCTGGAGTCCCGGGATCGAGTCCCGCATCGGGCTCCCTGCTCAGCGGGGAGTCTGCTTCTCCCTCTGATCCTCCTCCCTCTCATGCTCTCTGTCTCTCATTCTCTCTCAAATAAATAAATAAAATCTTAAAGAAAAAAAAAGGTGGTAGTCTTTCAGCACTTTCCAAAATGCTGATTAGGCAGGTGGTTTGGCGTGTAAATACCCGTGCTATCAATTTGACCAAAGGAATGTGAGTGCAGATTACACCTCTCTTAAGGTTTTGCTGGGCCACCTGTCTGCGGAACAAGTGTCTTTAACAAGTGCAAAAACAAGTGTTTGGTTTGTTGGCTTTCACAGGAAATGGTGGTGCACCCGATGTGGTGTTGTGGTTGGGGACACCGATGACGCCTTTTCCACATGGGTTTGGTTATGACCGTAACTGAGGCTTACCAGGAGGCCTGCAGCACTAGGAGGGAGGCAGGGGATGTATCAGTGACTTGTGACTTGACCCTGGGTATGCTGTCTAGCATCACAGGACTTTGCCCAGCTTCCTTGCGTCTGGCTCTGCTGGTTGGGAGGGAACATGTTTTTCTTTCTGGTTACTGCTGCCTGTCCTTCTGACAGGTACACATCTGCTTCATATGCTGCCCGAGGCCTTTCACAAATGGCATCATGGACACTTAGTGGCTGGATACCCTTTCAGGGCCCTCCGTGGGTCCCAAGCCACGAAGGTGTTTGACTCCATCTTTCTACATACGCGCGGATGACAAAGAAGAGCTGGGGACCGAAGGCCTCCCGCAGCCCTGCATAGCTGAGGGGTGCTTTGCCATCAGAGGGCGGTCACAGTGGAGAAAGCTCCTCAGGCCTTCACTTGGGTTCTGTGAAACAGTGACCTCCAGGAAGGGAAAACTCAGGCAAATCATGATGCTGGTTTTGAAAACAAAAAGCAACCCTAGAAGACGGTTTTGGGGAGAGAGGGGGATGGGAGGATCCTGTATGTGTTCCTGCTCTCAGACTGTCTCACAGAGTCTCGGGGAATCCCTTTATTTCTAGTCCAAGGAGAAGCGTTTAATCTCAAAACAAAATTGACTTATTTTCAAAATTTGCTGCTTTTCACCAGCAGCTCCGAGTTATGCATTTACAAATTGAGTTTATTTTTCATCTCCTGAAAGTACTATATATTTATGGTCGAAAATTAAGGCAATCTAAAACAACAAAAAGGAGAAATAAAAACATAAAACAGGGACCTGTAATCTTGCCATTTATGGATAACCGTGACTGACGTTTCAGTGTATACGTCCACAGTTCTAATCTTTTTTTTCCCCCTACATAAACATATACAAAATACTTTTAGCAAAACCATATCATACTGAGGAGGTAATTTAGAAAATGTAATTCTCTTTCAATTGGAGGATTTTTTTGTCACCTTTAGCACTTCAAGTCCTTCTGGAACTCAGAGGATTGTCACGAGTCTCCCCAGATGGAACCACCAACCCCATCTCAGCAGTTTCCATAGGCAAACGCACAAAGTGCTGGGCATGTAATGTATTTCTAGAGAGCTGCATAGGATGAGAAGTGCGCCCTTTGTCTCCAAGGTCATAATGGCTCTGCTGACCTCAATTCCTTTCACTGGAGCTAGTGAGGAGAACTCGAAAATGCCAGAGAGAATGAGAGCCCCCTGCCCCATGATCCCAAATGAAAAAACGAGAGAGAACATAGAAATCCCCTCACGCACTACCCCCAGGCCCCTTTTGTGTAGTTCTTGCCAACACAGCAGCCCTCCTGCTATATATTCCGGCTGCCACTCTTGTCCCCATCACACTGGACGCTGATCATCCGCTGACAACAACCATGGGGAAGGTGAGCCACCCGAGGGGCCATGCCGCGTCTGTTGAGTATCTCCTGTGTTTGGAGGTCCTTCCTCGCTGACGTCTGGCTGTCCCCTTGTTCCCACCCCACCCCCCGCAGATCACCTTCTACGAGGACCGCGGCTTCCAGGGCCGCCGCTACGAGTGCAGCAGTGACCACCCGAACCTGCAGCCCTACTTCAGCCGCTGCAACTCCATCCGCGTGGACAGCGGCTGCTGGATGCTCTACGAGCGCCCCAACTACCAGGGCCACCAGTACTTCCTGCGGCGCGGGGACTACCCCGACTACCAGCAGTGGCTGGGCTTCAGCGACTCCATCCGCTCCTGCCGGGCCATTCCTTACGTGAGTCTTGCCTCCACCCAGACTGATGGGAAAGCATCACTGATCCGTGGAAGTAAATTCCTGTTGGTCAAAGTCAGTTTGTTTCAATTCAGGACTAGTGTTCACAGTAAGGACAGCAATGCCTGATTCTCAAGCATTAAAAAAAAAAAAAATTGTGAGTAGGCTAATGAATCACTGTAACCTCTTTTTTTTCCGCCCTTATTTAAGGACAAGATTGTTTTTAGGGCATAAGAAATCACAACATAGCCTCTGCAGTTACATTTGGTAGCATCTAACTGATTCCTACTTTCTAAATAAAAATCACCATGTTCAGAAAAGAAAAAAAGAAAAGCCTATCTAGGTCATTATTTTTTAATAATGGGAACACTTAACAGACCACGGGAGAACAAGATAAGTGTAAGGATCTAGAAACTAGAACAATATGTCTCAGCTCCTTAGGGGCTCCCTGGTTCCCAGGAGTCATTATCAACTAGTTTCTTATGAGGGTCAGAGACAGATCATTAATTAGGATTTCATGGGACATGGTCCTCATGAAAGTGCTGCTTAATGTTTTTTAAACATGTTGAGTTTGTGTTTCTGCTTGCTGGTGACACCAAATTGTGTGGTATGACAAGCAGATTCAAGAAGTGAAACCAAAAGTAGGCTAGAGAAATTTGCAGATGCAAAAAGACATACAAATAAAACAGGAATTTCTTTGAGGCAAGAACCTCAAATGGTTCAAGTGATTTGGCAAAATGTCAGACATGTGGACTCAGAGTAAATACGAATTATTGTAAATTATGCATGAAGAGTGACTTAAAAACAAGCTTGTTAGGACTCTGTTATGTGTAGCCATAATGGAAAAGAGAGTTAAATTCCTCTCTGCAGACTCACTAAATACGGTTGTGACCAATGGCTTCCTACAAAGGAATCCCTTTGGTTCCCTTTATTTCAATGTTTGTTTCTTCCACAAGATCAGGTCAGTTTTATTTTTAATATTCCTCCTATTTGTTAGACCAACAATGGGGGGAGAAGACACGCATCTGGCAGGAAGATTTGAAAACCATGCTTCACGAAGATGCAGGATTACTAAGTCACTTTTACTGAGATCAGAGATGCACACCACTGATTTTTCTTCTTTTGTTTATTGTCACAACAGACCAGCTCCCACAGGATAAGGCTGTATGAGAGAGATGACTACGGGGGCCTGGTGTCTGAGCTCACCGAGGACTGCTCCTGTATCCACGATCGCTTCCGGCTCAATGAGCTCCGCTCCCTCCACGTGCTGGAGGGCTGCTGGGTCCTCTATGAGCTGCCCAGCTACCGGGGGCGACAGTACCTGCTGAGGCCAGGGGACTACAGGCGCTACCACGACTGGGGGGCCATGGATGCCAGAGTGGGTTCTCTGAGACGGGTCATCGATTTATACTAGGCTGTGTGTTTCTTGTTATGATCCACATCAAAATGCAATAAATATACAAATTGTGCTCCAGGCACTAAGTGACTCTCGTTTATCTTTAAATAATCACTGAATTCTAATAAATGGTGACCCCTGGCAACTTATCTGACCCTGAAAGTCAGGTGTTTTGAATGTCTACTTACTTCCTGTTGGTCAGGCAACAGGATTCCTGAAGCCCCCACTCATGTCATGGGAAGGAGGGAGAAGCGCCGCATCTGCTTCTACAACCCACAATCTGAGAAAGAGAGGAAAGGCAAATGGAAGGAAAAACTATTAGACCCTACATAAAGTAGAAAACATAGAACGAGTTGAGGTTGGGATACCTAAGACAAGGGATTGCCAGAAAGATTAAGGCAGATGAAGTCTCAGATTAGTCAAGAAAAGCTGAGTGAAGAGAGGGGTTTTAAGCAGAATTCCCAAGGTAGAGAAGGTCAAACGTGCTTGATGAGTTCAGCAGGTAAGAAAAGTGTTAAAGTAAGGGTTAAAGGGCCTGAGTTGTTATCTTACTTCTGCTAATTACTACTAATGTGTCCAACTTGGACTAGTTTTTAGGGACTTGCCCAGTTTTAGCACCAAAAGTCGTACACCCTGGAAAGCCCCTCTGTCTCAGGTAAACCAGGATAGTTGGTTCCCCTTCTTACTGGGTTTATCTCTTTGATCAAGTCATTTCTTATCCTCTCTGTGCCTAAGTTACCTTATTGAAGACTATAGGTGGATGAGAAATTCCTGCTTCACTAAATCCCCAGATAATTGTAATGAAATATAAGGAAAGATTGTGAACACATTTTGTTATTTTTAAATTATTACACAAATATAAATGTAGAAAATTTATGTGTTGCCAGTGTCTGCTCCAATTCAAGAGTACAATACAGTCATCTTTATTTTGGACTCCAATATGAATTTCTATCAAGACTCAATTACAGGGCACCTGGGTTACCCAGTTGGTTAAGCGTCTGCCTTCGGCTCAGGTCATAATCCCAGGGTCCTGGGATGGAGTCCGTCATCAGGGTCCCTGCTCAGCAGGGAGTTTGCTTCTCCTCTCCCAATCCTCTTCCCCCCTGCTCATCTCATGCTCTCCCACTCTCACCCCTCAAATAAATGAATAAAATCTTAAAAAAAAAAAAAAAAGACTCAATTACACACATGATGTAATGAGCACTGGGTATTATATAAGACTGATGAGTCACTGAACTCTACCTCTGAAACTAATAATATACTATATGTTAACTGATTGAATTTAAATTTAAAAAAAAGACTCGATTACACAGGGTGAAGTATCAATATTTACTCTGCTGCATACCTCTGGAGTTTCTTTCCACTATAGTAAAGCTGCTCTCCCAGAATGCTAATTCTCTTTCCAAATTTATATAAGCAAAAATAGTGCCCTGTCCCAGTTAACTTCCTTGTCAAAACTGATTTTAAAATTCACATGGAATTACAAGGGACCCAGAATAGCCAAAACAATCTTGAGAAAGAAGAACAAAGTAGGAGTACTTCTCAATTACAGAACTTAACACAAAACAACAGTAATGAAGACAGTGAGGTCCTGGCATCAGGTAGACATGGAGATGAATGAAATAGACTTGAGAGTCCAGAAATTAACCCATGAGCCAACTGAGTTTTGACAAGGATTCTAAGACAATTCGATGGGGAAAGAATAACTTTTCAACAAATGGTGCTGAAACTACTGGACAACCTCATGCAAAAGGATGAAGTTAGCCCCCTATTTCACACCATATATAAAAATCAACTCAAAAAAATCAAAGACTTAAATGTAAAAACTCAAGCCATAAAACTTGGAAGAAAACACAAGCATACATCTTTATGATATTTTATTAGGCAATGATTTCTTAAATATGAAAGCACAAACAAAAACAAAATAAATTTGGCTTAAAACTAAAATCTTTTATGAATCAAAGGACATTACCAAGAAAGTGAACGTAGCAACTTCTTACTAGACACATATCTCTGGAGACAAGGGAAACAAAAGCAAAAATGAATTATTGGGACTTCCTCGAGATAAAAAGTTTCTGCATAGTGAAGGAAGTAATCAATAAAACTAAAAGGCACCCTACAGAATGAGAGAAGATGTTTGCAAATGACATACTGGATAAAGGGCTAGTATCCAAAATCTATAAAGAATGTATCAAACCCAACACCCAAAAAATAAATAATCCAGTTAAGAAATGGGCATGAACAGACATTTCTCCAAAGAAGACATACAAAAATGGATAACAGACACATGAAAAAGTGCTCAATATCGCTCGGCATCAGGGAAATCCAAATCAAAACCTCAATGAGATACCACCTCACACCAGTCAGAATGGCTAAAATTAACAAGTCAGGAAATGACAGACGTTGGCAGGGATGCGGAGAAAGGGGAACCCGCCTACACCGTTGATGGGAATGCAAGCTGGTGCAGCCACCCTGGAAAACAGTATGGAGGTTCCTCAAAAAGTTGAAAATAGAGCTACCATATGATCCAGCAATTGCACTACTGGGTATTTACCCCAAAGATACAAAAGTAGGGATCCAAAAGGGTACGTGCACCCCGATGTTTATAGCAGCAATGTCCACAATAGCCAAACTGTGGAAAGAGCCAAGATGTCCATCGACAGATGAATGGATAAAGAAGATGTGGTATATATACACAATGGAATATTATGCAGCCATCAAAAGGAATGAGATCTTGCCATATGCAACGACGTGGATGGAACTGGAGGGTATTATGTTGAGCGAAATAAGTCAAACAGAGAAAGACATGTATCATATGATCTCACTGATATGAGGAATTCTTAATCGCAGGAAACAAACTGAGGGTTGCTGGAGTGGGGGGTGGGGTGGGAGGGACGGGGTGACTGGGTGATAGACACTGGGGAGGGTATGTGCTCTGGTAAGCGCTGTGAATTGTGCAAGACTGTTGAATCTCAGATCGGTACCTCTGAAACAAATAATGCAATATATGTTAAGAAAAAAAAAAAGAAGAAGAAGAAGGTAGCGGGAGGGGAAGAATGAAGCGGGGGAAATCGGAGGGGTAGACGAACCATGAGAGACAATGGACTCTGAAAAACAAACAGGGTTCTAGAGGGGAGGGGGGTGGGAGGATGGGTTAGCCTGGTGGTGGGTATTGAGGAGGGCACATTCTGCATGGAGCACAGGGTGTTATGCACAAACAATGAATCATGGAACACTATATCTAAAACTAATGATGTAATGTATGGGGATTAACATAAGAATAAAAAAAAAACAGAGAGGGAGGCAAGCCATAAGAGACTCTTAACTATAGAGAATAAACTGAGGGTTGCTGGAGGGAAGGTGGGTAAGGGGATGGGCTAAATAGGTAATGAGTATTAAGGAAGGCATTTGTTGGTGTGAGCACTGGGTGTAAGTGATGAATCACTAAATTCTACTCCTTAAACCAATACTACACTATATCTTAACTAACCTGAATTTAAATAAAATCTTGGGAGAAAAACAAAAAATAATAAATAAATAAGATAAAAAATAATTTTTATAAAAAAGAAAGAAAGTGAAAAGACAGCCTGTAGAATGGGAAAAAATATTTACATACCATAGATCTGGTAAGAGTCAAATATCCAGAATATACATAAAACAACTCTTAAACTAAATAACACAAAGACAAACAACACAATTAAAAGATGGGCAAAAGACTTAAATATATATCTTTCTGAAGAAGATATACAAATGGCCAATAAGCAAATGAAAAGATGTTCAACATCATTAGTCCTTAGAGAAATTCAGATCAAAACCACAATGGGATACCACTTAATACCCACTAGGATAGTTATAATAGGGGGGAAGCCCCAGAAAATAACAAATATTGGTAAGGATGTAGAGAGATTGGAACTCTCATAAATTGCTGGTGGGAATGTAAAATGGTGCAGTCGCTATGGAAAATAGTTTAGCAGTTACTTAGTTAAACACAGAGTTATCATATGACTCAGCAGCAATTCTACTTCTAAATACATATTCAAAAGAATTGAAAGGAGTGTTCAAACACAAACTTATCCATGAGTGTTTATAGTAGCATTATTCCCAATAGCCGAAAGGTGAAAACAACCCAAAAGTCTATCAAGGGATGATTGCATCAATAAAAAGTGATATATCCATATTATGGAATACTCTTTGGCCATAAAAAGGAGTGAAATACTGATACGTGCTATAACATGGATGAATCTTAAAAACATTATACAAAGTGAAAGAAGCCAGTCACTAAAGCATGTATATTATAAGATTCCATTGATATGAAATATCCAGAATAGGCAAGTCTACAGAGACAGTAAGTCGATTAGTGGTTGCTTAAGGCTGGGAGGAATCGGTGGATAACGGAATGAAACTAAAAAGCACAGGATTTCTCATTGTGGTGACGAGCATGTTCTAAAATTGATTGTAGCAATGGTTGTACGTATCTATGAACATACTAAAACAATTAATTACATACTTTAAATTGGTCAACTGTATGGTATGTGAATTATATCTCAATAAAGACCTTTTAAAAACTAATGCTCTGGGGTGCCTGGCTCAGTCAGTACAGCATGCGACTCTTGATCTCAGGGTTGTGAGTTTGAGCCCCACGTTGGGTATAGAGATTATTTAAAAAAAAGAAAGGAAGGGAGGGAGGGGGGAAGGAAGGAAGGAAGGAAAGAAAAGAATAAATGGAATCTTCTAAAAATAATATTCTGTACAGAAACTTAAGTAATGAAGATTCTTTTAAAATAAGAGTCCTTGTGGAAGGCACTTACAGGATAAATTATAAATATAAGATACACATATTATTGAGACGCCTGGGTGGCTCAGTCAGTTAAGTGTCTGCCTTTGGCTCGGGTCATGGTCCCAGGGTCCTGGGATCGAGTCTCATATCAGGCTCCTTGCTCAGCGGGGAGCCTGCTTCTCCCTCTGCCTGCTGCGCCCCCTGCTTGTGCTCTCTCTCTCTCACCCTCTCTCTCTCTCTCTGACAAATACATAAATAAAATCTTTTTTTAA